AGAGAGAGAGAGAGAGAGAGAGAGAGAGAGAGAGAGAGAGAATATGCATGTGGCACTAAACAGCTCACCAAAACTCATTAAGTGGCCCTCCAGCTCAAATAACTGCCCACGCCGTTGTAAGTTATGTGTATTTCTTAAAACAGTGTTACAGCGATGTAGTGGTGATGATCAAGAAACTAATGTGAGAGCTAAGGATTTTTTTTCTTGCACTCAAAAGCTTGTGTACTTTTATCCCAAACATGCAGTTCGTCCAATACAAGATACTACCCCTGAAATCCTTGCTTCTCACATTTCTTAAAAGTCACACTGGTTAAGTTATAAATACATAAAAAAAGATTTTATTTACCAGAATTAATGATTTCTTAAATTACTTGTGGACTTAGCATGATTTTTCCACACAAAATGTAGAAGACTATTAGTTTCTCTCTAAGCTCAAAGTACATTTCTTTCTCCCCCTGTAAATCTCAATTTTATTAAAGAAAATATTCAATTAACCTCAACTATTCTACATACTCAAATCTAATTAGGCATGAACAAGAGATGGAGTAAAGCTATAGTAAACACACACAGAGTGAATTCATTACTATTAGATTACTGGCTTTCTCACTGACATTATCAAACAGCAAATTCATTAGGACTTTTCTCTTATATGCAAAACTAATATTAAGTGGAAATTAGATGACCAGTTATCAAAGTAAAATACTAAAAAGAACAAGGCAACCATACTGAATGTGCTGCAAATTAGAACACTCCACCAGTTGAAACTAACAACACTTTCAAAGAGTATTTTTCTGGGCTATTCAAGTGCTAAGAATAGTTATACTTTCAACAGCAAATAGAAAATTGAAGTTGTTCATATGGGGCCAGTTTTTAACTATCAAAAGTTAAAACAAATTATGTGGTATTGCCATACTGAGATTAAAATCACAGATAAAATCCCTAGAAGTCATGACATTGCCTAAAATAATGTAATGTGAAAAAATTATTGATTCATGTTTGCATGTGTGTTCTTGCTTTGGTCCTTTGGGGTTTAGCAATCATGAAACTTACTTTATTAAAATTTTTAAAAGAAAGTTGAATTTCTTGGGTGTTTTGAAGTATCATCATTTGTCATTACATGCATTGACTTGTTGGCTTCACTACAATATTCTTCCTTTTAAAATGATAAACAAAGAATGTGTTTAAAGAAATAATGTAGTCTTCTACATTCAATAGATATTTCTCTTTTCAGTAATGTGTGTTCGCATTATTGCAGAAGCTATGATTTGAAGGAAAAACACCCAATGTTCAGAGATTCACAAAAAAATGTGCTGGTAATACTGTTAAAATAACACTGATTGTCAGTAGAACTTAACAACTGTCCAGCACCTGATGATGATTATTTTTTTTAAATATCAAATCCTTTTTTTTGTTTTTTACCAGATTACCATCTTCACTAAAATGCACGGGTGGAATCCTCACCCTACTAAAGTCACAGACAATTCTCTCTCTCATATATTAAAAGGGAAAAAAATCACCAATTATGTCAGTCTCAAGCTTATTGTAGTATGACATAATTGAGAAAATGATCTAATTAGTACATTAACCATCTTTACTATAGCAGTAATATGGGTATTCCTATAATAAATTAAGTTCAACATTAACACAAAATACTTTCAAATAGAAGTTTATGAGACAAAGGTACACTGGAACATATAGAATAAATAAAGATAGTGAAGTAAATAGAAAGCATTGCAACAGTAATCATAGCTGGATAACTTCCTGTTTCATTAAAAAAAAGATTTTGCTTTAAGCAGTGCCAAATATTCTAAAGTAATATGCAAGTCTAGTAATGTGATCTATTACTAGAACTATGTTTGAATGTTTGAGTTCTGTGTGGATTGGGTTCTATGGAATAATGACTTCCTGGGTGTTTTGTAGCGTTTGCAGTGTCATCAAGTGCCATGACATGCATTGGCTTGTTGGCTCCACCAGAACATTCTTCCTTTTAAAAATTAAAAATAAAGGGTGTACTTAAAGAAATAATTTCATCTTCTGCATTCAATAGATATTTCTCTTTTCAGCAAATGAGGCTGGTTTATACTTTATAAATCACATCGTCAAATGGTATATATTGTTATAGCTTCTATTTATACAGTATTTGTATTATTTTCTAAAATAATTTTTAGAACCGGCAGATGTACCAACTATACTGCAATAGGAGTAATGACAGAAGCAGAATTTATTAAACATTTCTATAGAACTGAAAATAATAGAAGATATAAGGCTGTTCAGAAATACATTATACTTACCACTGCTGTAATTATAGTGAATCCACTGTCCACTTCTTGGTTTTGGAAGTGACACTGGAGTCTCCTCTGCTGGGAAACTGTAGAATCTCCATTCTACGAACAGCCGTTGTATTGTCTCATCCATTGAAACTCGGGAATCAGCAAGACTGAGGGATACAACCTCAATACGAATCTTTGCAGATGGCTGTTTTGTTTTGTTTTTTAAAAAAAAGCAAACCACAGACATAAACACATATAACCCACTGTATTTTTTGTGTAAAGTCAACTTGAAAAACCCCCAAATACATAAATCACAAATCAGTAGGGTATTGTGTGTGGTAAAACATGATTCATTGATTGTGACATAGATACAATGAGGTTCTAGTGCCCCAGGGTTAATAGTTAACGGTGTCATTGCCACAGACTACTGATTTACATTTGAGGTTGAAAATACCTCCATAGAAGATTATGTTATCTTCACAGATAAATGGTTTCTGAGTCATAAATATCATTTCCCCTTATTTTTAGCTACCTAAGGAAGTGCTGTATATGTATATTGCTATTTAGTAGATAACTTTAAAATTCTTAAAATTACTATTAATCAAAAGTCTTTCAAATTATTATCCCTACACCCAGGCCATACTTCAACCTATGTTGCTATTAGAATAGAGTTGATATAAAAACACAGGACTACTTGACATAATAACATGTAAAGTAACTCAGAACTTGTGTGTGTAACTCAGAACATATTAGGGGTGTGCGAAGCGGGCCCTATTTGATTCGGATTTGGCCCGAATCAGGGACAGTTATTTGATTCATTGATTTGGATCACTGTCTGATTTGATTCAACCAAATCCAAACCTAAGAATTCAATGCTGATTCAGAGAATCAGCGATTCAGACACAGACACAGCTTTAAAAGTTTTTCTACATACCTTGAGGTAGCAGGCACCACTCGTGATTCCTGCAATGCTGGGGTGCATGGAGCGTCTTACAGGAGTGCGGGGGGGGCCTTCCACATGCTTGCTGGCAAACCCAGAAGTGGACCAGAAGTGCTTCTGGTCCACATCCGGGTGTGCTGCCAAGTGTGCTGGGAAGCCCCCCGTGCTTCTGTGTGACACTCCATACGTAGAAAAAACATTTAAAGCTGTCTCTGTGTCCGTATCTCTGAATCTTTCTGAATCAATTCGGAAGGTTCCGATTTGATTCAGAGAGATTAAAGGGTCCTCTGATTCAGTTCGGATTTGGAGATTCAGCCACCGAATTGGGCAAAATCTACGCTGAATCGAATCAGGGACCAAAGCATCGCACAGCCCTATTACATATCACATTTAACTCAAACAGTCTAGTGAAATTAAATGTTTAAAATGTAAATTTTTAATACTATGATTAGTAAATCAAAATTGGTCTTCATCACACTTTATTTTTCTTCATAGACTATTTTGCCCATGATTAATTCTGACGTGTTTTCTGTTTTACAACTGGAACTAAAGTAGTAGTTTCAATTTTAGAAATGTGTTAGTTTTTAATATGATAAACCATTGTACCAATTTAGGAAGAAGTGTCAAAGGTCACAAACACATACACTTGAAAACTGAGTGATTTCAAAGAAAGCAAAACCACTGTGATTTCAAAATTAGACCGTATAGACAAATATTCAAAGGATGAGATTTTGTTCTTCAAAGAGCAAACAGAGCTCCTTATAGTTCATAACTGTCAAGCTCTTCTTAACCAACTCCCCATCCCTACTTTTCTTTCTCCCTTTTAAAGTTCCATCTGCATTAACAATCACTTCCCATATACGGTGTTTGAAGATTTCTGGTTGTAATTTCAGAATACCTAATATAGTAATTATAAAATTAAAACACACCCCAACCCCAACAGATTTAAGATCAGCTTTCTAGAGTTCAGTGTCAGAACTGTAAATAATATTCAAATATATCATGGCAATTGCTTATTTCAAAGCTTATTATATAATTAATCAAACTGAAAAAGCATGAGTATCCTATTGTAAAAATATCCTTCGTAAAGAACAATTTTCATTGCTGTCAAGCCCCTTCAATATTTGATGAAGTAATTTTACCCCCTCCTTTCAAAAGACATTTTCTTTTATTATGTATCCTAGACACTTTAACTAAAAACCCAAATCTGAATATTTCAATAAGGTTGTTTTATTATTCAGTAGATTCATGGAAATTTTACTAGGATGACAGAGAAAATTCCACACCATTCTGTCTCTGCTAATACAGGTACACGGCTTCAGCTGGCAATATTACTAGGATTAGCATAGTATGATGAAATATTTAAAGGAATTTTTTTTTCTAAAACCTAATAAATCAAATGACTGCCAAATGTCATTAAAGTGATGGTCTTTGACTTGAATATGCTTTTCATATTCAAATTTGAAAAGAAAGAGATGAAAGCCTGGAAAGGTTACTCAGTTTCAACTAATAACCTCAAGCACTCTACATTCACATGCATAAAAAATGAAATTGGCTCCATTGTCTAATTTTACTTCAGAAACAACTCTTTTTCGTGCATTATACAGATATATTAGCAGATGGATTTAAAAGTGCTATACTGAGTTGTGTCTTTCTCCCAAAGTATTGAGCAGTTATGTCAAACTAGTTTGTACACAGAGTAGTTTGACTCAAGTCTAAATACAATATATTGTATTATCTAGTCCTTTCACATAACTTAAATTTTTGTTTGACATATTTATCATTTGCAATAACATACTAGAAGATTATCATTAAAGAGATTTTTTCTTTTCTCTGAAGAGAGAGCAGGGAATATCAAGCATTTTTCTAATTTATAGGCACAACTATGCATTATTTTATTACAAAATTGGAAAAAAAAATTAGACTTCAAAATTGAAGAATATTTAGAGGTACAATTTTATTCATATGAATTAGGCAATATAGTGTAATCTTAAAGAAAACATAAGCTGTTTCTTAAAGAGTTTATATTTAAAACTAGTATGTCATTTACTACTACCATAAAACATGTACTATGTAGACATGCTCAAAAATAAATACGAATTACATTTTTAATTATATACTTAATGCCACTATGATGCAGAACTAGTTTTTATATACTTCATTGTTTTCCCAAGTAAATTTTTTATTCTTAATATACCACTTATTAGATATGATTGAAGTGAAAAATGTATTTTATCATGGCCACTTGCTCCTCCCCACTATCCCAAGTCATTTTGCTTTGATAGAAATAAAACTGTATTCCAAGCAAATCTTAAGAAACTATTTTATGCTTTATATGGTTTGGCTTAGTAATGAGAGAACAAGTAGAGCTACTGACAGACTTATTAAACTTATGATACATCATATATTATTTCAGGATTTTGACATGCATTAGTTTCATTGTAAATGTTTCAATTACATACTGCTTCTAATTGTGTACAAGAGTATTTTTGCCACCCTTAAATCAAAAAAATGTAGCAATGTACAGATTAGCTTGCATCGTTAACCCTTACTGTGTGAAATATGTGCAGTTTTGCTGAAAATCCTCTTTTGGCAGTAAATTGGGTAGAAATGTTAAAATCTTAAAGAATCCTTAGGGACTCCTGTAAGTACAACTGAAAAATGAATGTCAAGTCTCTTATTTCAAAGGGAAAAATAAAATCCCAAAACATGCAATTCAAACCCTGACTTGGTGACAACTGGTACGTGCCAACTGATATGAACTAAGCATCTGACAGCAGGAAGTCTAAGGAGAAACTGAAAAACTTTCTTAACTAAGATAATGTGCTTTAGAAAGTATAAACAACATGTGGACCAACCATAAATTGGAAGTTAAATTGATTACATCTTTTTCTCATCTTTATCATGTAAAGTTTGTTAGCTTTGATCTCTGTGCTTGCCTGGTTTCGAATTTCCATTCATGTGCTGCCTTGGCATGTGCGCCTGGTGTCAGGCACTGTGTGAGCTCATGTGACCTCTGCAGGGGTCCTTGATCAGTATTTGATCTGCTAAAGCATCCTGATCATACACTGCAGGGCTCACCCATTTATTCAAAAGATCCTGAAGCAGCTATAGCAGGACCCTGGGCCATCTTTCATCTGGCCCTGTTTTAGCCCAGAACAGCTTTTGATAGTGCTCTGAGTTAACCTCGAGCCTATGCAAAATAGCTGCTTTCACCCACTTGCAGTTGTGAGCTTCATCCCTGGCAAGGGCCCAATAAGCCACCTGGGCCTTGCCCACAATGAGTGCGCCCAGCTGACTGGCCCAATATCCTTTGTTGAGCCCAGTCATTATTGTGTGACATTCAAAGGCCTTGATATAGGTCTCTGGATCATCTTCTGGGTCATCTTCAGCATGTTAAATGCAGCCAGGCTGTAGTGCAACCAGTCCCGCTGCTAATCCATCATCTGTTGTTGGGCATCCAGGATCTGTGTCAGGGTTTGTAAGTCTGGAGGGGCCATGGCCGCTGGCTGCATGTTGATATACTGTTTGTCTGCCGAGTCCCTCTGCTGATTCCTGGCCAATGCACCACTTCGTGCCCACCTGGTTTTGAATATATGTTCACGTGCCACCTTGGCACTTTGCGCCTAGTGTCAGGCACTGTGTGAGCTCATGTGGCCTCTGGAGGGGTCCTCAATCACCTCGGGGAAAGCCCCAAAACTTGTCTGCTACAACTCTGATTGGACCCTCAGTGGTGGGTTCCCCTGTTGATGACTCCCTTAGATTGGTCAATATCCTCTTGATGGATATTAATGGGGCTGCGCCTCCCCTACACCCCTTCCATATGCCAGCCTCCAGGACAAGCCACTTGATCTGGGTGCGGCTTGCCCTCTAGTCTTGTCGCTCCCTGTTCTTCATGCCACCTGGATTCTGATTGGCTTCTCCTTGTCGCTGGACTCCAGGGGTAGCTGGGTACCCAGATCTCCTGATGTCTCATCGGCAGCCAGCTGGCTGCTTGCCATGAGCCTGGGGCTGCTCCTGTCCTTGAAGCATTGCCTGTGCCCCGGCCAAAAGGAAAAAAAAAAAGGATAGGAAAAAACAAACAAGCAAAAAAAGAATATAGGCACTTTATAAGGGGGGGGGAAAAAAGGAGGCTGAGGGGTTAAGCTACCAGCCCTTCCTCCATCACAGACATAGTGCCTGAAACTTGGCTTGTCCTTGACACCACTCCAGGTCTTTGCCCTTGCTGAGGACCTCCTCCGTTTGCCCTGGAGTCAGATCCACTG